GACTCAGGGATGAGGAGGGTTAGGGTAAGCTTTAGGATTGGGTCAGGCTTGTTTCAGTCCTTAGAATAAAAATCTAAATGTCAACATTAAGGACCACAAAAGATCACAGGCAAGAATGCCTCCTGGAATTGTACTAGAATATAGAACAAATTCAGGGGCCATCTGAAGGTTTCCAGGGACTCTTTGCAAGTCGGCCATAGAACCCACATGCTGAAATCTATCTCCAAAGCCCATGTCTGGCAAATCTCTAACTCTAAACTCACAATGAGTTTATCTTATTTCTAGAGGCGTCGTATCATATCTGTAACAATCCTGACTGAGGAGGAACAGTGCCCTTTTACTCACATTCTTCCAACCCATTTCCCCTTGCTCGGCCCTCAGAAGGAGAGCCCAAGTTTTCTGTTTGTTTAAAAGCTGTTATCGGGTTTCATCTTGAGCCTCTCTTTTCTAGGTTAAATAATCTTAGTTCCTTTAAGCTTTTCTTTTCAGCTTTAATTTACTTTTGTAACTCTGTAATTATTTTCAGAGTCCTTCTCTGAACTCATTCCAAGACTTCATCATCATCATCAAAAAGGATCCAGTGAGTGTCACCTAGCAAAGGCGCTGGGCCAGTTTCTTTCTCCTTCCAAGTGAACAGCCCCAAGTGGGCCAGAGGGAAAGCCCCCTCCCCTGCCTGTTCCTGCCTGTGCTTCCTACTTTAGCGCCAAATAAGCTGTGCTTCCTACTTTAGCGCCAAATAAGCTGTTCTCAGGAACCATCTTCACTTTGCTAGGCTGCTGTTCTGAGTTCTAGCTGCCCGACTTCAAAAATCCTGGCCCAGGCCACAGGGGATCTGGACATTCATTTCAGTTTCACTCACTATGATATGTGGGACCTTGGGGAGTCACACAGTGCTTTGCCAATCTAATTTTCCCTGTGTTGAGTGGGAATTAAAATTCTTGAGCTTTCCTCAAAGCCCCCTTCCCCTTGGCAGTGTTGGGTACAGAACCCAAGGGTTCATACGTGCTGGGGAAGTGTTCTACCTCTCAGTCACAGCACCAGCTCAGTCCTCAATGTGTTTTCAAATAAAATAATTATAAGATCTAATCATATATAGAAGAGAGCTTTGGAAATGTGAAGAGCTATGCTATATATATATCAATGACCACAGACTTAAATGTAACAGTATTTCCCAGGGGAAAGTATAGGGAAAACCATTTTCATTTTTGTTTAAGCAAAGATCTCATAGAATGTTCATATGAAGTATGGCCCGTGAGTGAAATACTGATGCACTGGACTTTATCAAAACTTAAAATTTCTGCTTAAAACAAATAACCAAGGACCGATGTAGTCCAGACTGGCCTGAAACTAGCCACCTCTCCCAACCAGTTGTCTACAATTCTGCCCTGATTACCCTTGGTCTTGGGGGAGGGCTAGAGAACATAGGTGGGAGAGGACAAAAGGAGAGAGTTTTACCTACACAGCCACTAAGAAGCCTGCATCCCTGCTGGGTGCACCCTTCCAGTGTGGCTACTTTAAGGTGGCCTATGCTCATGTCTAATCCCTCAGCTACTGCTCCCAAATAAGCCTAATAAACTTACTGTTCCACCAGGGTAAACTTTGGTGGACCCTTATTTCAGTTTATTAGTGGAACCTTAGGAAAAGGGAAGGAAATTTAGCAACATGGGATTACAGATTTGGACCACCACATTCGGCTTAAAACTTCGGTGCTTTAAGAAAAAAAATAGTTATAAGGTCCAGAGAGATGGCTCAGCCAGGAAAAACATTTGCTTCACAAGCCTGATGACTTGGATTCCCAGAATCCACGTTAAAAACTGGACATTGTGTCATGCACCTGTAATTCTAGTACTCCTACAGTGAGATGGGAGGTGGGGACAGGAGAACTCCCTGAAGCTCCTGAGCCAGCTATCTTGGAGTATGCAGCATAACCACAAACATTAAGAGACCCTGCCTCAAACAAGGTGGAAGGTGAGCACAGAGACCTCTGCTTGACCTCACACACAAACATGTTTACACACATTGCACATATGCAAAATAAATATTAAAAGTTATGACAATTAAAATGCAGATAATAGATTGGGAAAATATTTGCACATATATGTCTGGAAAAAGATAGCTCCAGCACACAAGTCTGAGTTGATCATCACAACTCAACCAGAATGCAAATACATCAATTTAAAACAGACAAAAGTCTTGAACGTGCGCCATTCATTCATAAAATGAATATCAATGAAGCACACGAGAAGTTGATAAATATCTTTAATCATTTGGTAAGTGTATATTAAAACTACAGTGAAAGTCCAGAATTCGCTGGCATATACCTGTAATCCTAGAACTTGGAAGATTGGGGCAGGAAGATTAAGAATTCAAAGCCAGTCAGGATACGTGGTAAGACCTTGTCTCAGAGCACCAAAACCAACCAAACAAATACACAGGAAACATCACAATGAGCCATCCCTTAAACATCTACTAAGAAGACAACTTAAGAAATGGTAGTACCTAGTACTGGAAGGATGCAGAGAAGCTGGAAATCTCATACTCTTCTGATGGGAATGTAAAATTGTACACTGACTTTGGAAAACAGTTTGACAATTTATTGTGAAGTCAGTCATGCACTTATCATATCCCACTGAAATCTTACTCTTAATATTTATGTCTATACAAAACTCTATACCTAGGAATGAGGGTGCAACTCAGAGACAGTAGTCGTTGCTTAGCATGCACCACATCCTGGGTTTGATGTCTAGCATTACATAGGTGGGGGAAGCAAAACCCTAAACAATCCAACAACCCTAGTTCTCAATAATTATAGAAGCTTCTTTTCATAATTGCTGAAACCTGGCAACAATTCAATTATACTGGTAAATGAATAAACAAATGCATATATATATATATATATATGCAGTACACCCTCAAGCAGTATAAACTAGTGAGATACACAGCAAATTGGGTCATTCTCAAAGGTGTTATGCTAAGTGAAAGAAGACAAACTCAAATGATCCTATTCAGGAAATTCCAGAAAAGGCAAAATTATGGAGCTATAAAAATAAAGAGGGGATGAAAGTGAGATTTGTTAGAGAGGGACACAAGGGAACGAACATTTTGTAGTGCCAGTGGTGGCAATTTTTTGAGAGTGTATGTTGTGCGTGACTGTTCTCTGAGTGAAGCAACCACCATCTTGGGGCATTCAGTTGCACCTCCTTGGGAAAGATCATCCCAGCTGTGCTTGTTGATGGTTCACACCCCAGCAGAGAGGGGCAGAGAGGGTCATGACATTCCCCTATCCTGCTTCCCACTACCTGCTGTATGAAATGCTGCCTTCATTTCCCATGATCTGGAAGAGGAAAAAATAGATATGTGGAGAGGACTAGAAGGTGGCTCCATCTATGTGGCTATAGCAAAGCTCTAATCCCTGCTGGGTAAGGCTTTTCCTGTTGGGGGATGGTATGCCCACACCCCTGTAAGTAACCCCTCACCTATGGTGCTCTGTAAGGAAGCCCAACAAACTCATTGCTTCCCCACAGTGAACTCTGGTAGGATTGTGTCTTGGTTTGTCATTAGGAACTTAGGAGAAGGGATAGACATTGCTTATGTTTCACCCTGAGAAGGAATTTTTGCAACAAAAGTTCAGTGGTAGTGTGTTATGTGTGTTAGCATATATAAGCACATAAAAATTAAGCACATTAAAGTGTGAATTTTACCACATGTAAAATATATCTTTAAATCTTACATTGTTTCTTAAAGGGGACAGGGGCTCAGTGGAAAGAGCATGTATGAAGCTCTAGATTCAGTTCCTGGCACTTAAAAGTGGCAGGGCAGGAAAGCAGGGTGTACCAATGTGGGGTTTTACTTGGGGGTACATGTATATTTTGTTCTAGCCTGATTTAAAAATACCTCAGTTGTATGGTGAAAGAGGAAGAAACTGTTCAAGTTAGGTCATCTTACAGATTATCTACAACTGAGCTTCTGAATATCTACAGTACAATGAAAACTGATAACCAGGCTCATAAAATATCTTTTGTATAGTTCAAGAAAGTTTACACTTTATTTGACATAGCCTTTAAAATTAATCTAACTTTTAAAAACTAAAAAAATTGAAATAAGAGTTGATTTACAGAAAACAGTCAAGACAGCTCAGAGGATTCCATGAATTATTCACCCAGTTTTCCTTTATGTAACTTCAGAACAATATTGAAATGAGGAAATTGACTGTGGTACGATACATGCTTATAGTTCTATGTCCTTTTATTCTGTAAAGATTCCTATCATAAATCAAGATATACAACTATTTCAACACCACAAAGATGTCTTTTCCTCATCCACTTATAGGCATGCCAGATGTTCCTGCCACTATCCCTGACTCCTAGCAACACCCACTAACTTGTTTTGCATCTTCATAATATTTTTATTTCATGAAGGTTATATAAACTGAGCATGGTGACACATACTTGTCATCCTAGTATTTGAGATTCTGAGGCATGAGGATCAGAGGCCAGACTAGGTTATATATTGAGTCCAAGTTCTGCCTGGCATCCATGAGACCCTGTTTCAAAAACCAAAATACTAAAAAGTTATATAAATGCAGTATGTGGTCTTTTGAAATTGACTTTTAAAGCTTCTGCCAGGAAAGGAAACAATCATCGGAGTGGAGATACAACCACAAATCAGGACAAAATATAGACATACATATACATACATACATACAGACACACACACACACACACACACACACACACACACACACACAAATTTGGACAGAGGATTACTATTTAAAACATGTAAAGAACCACAAAAATTAAATACCAACCCCAA